AAGAGGGTAAAGAGTAGATAGATAGACAATGACAGAAAGAGAAGTGATAGTGTAACCGTTTCCAGCAGAATGGTTGTCGAGGGATTGACTTGACTTGTCTCTTTGACGATTTGGTATCTTGGTACGGAGAATGGCAAGCCTTACCGATGATGCCGACTACGAGGCCGGCGAAACGTTTGAGAATGTATCAAGTCCACTGTCAGATGCTGGGAGTCGGTGCGTTCTACATAGTCTCCCAGAACACAAGACCAAGTTGCGACAACGAGGTCAACCCACTTCTACTTATTTTTCATATGTAAGTAGAGTCTCAAGACTTCCGGCAAATGTATTCAGCCTATTTCGTTTAAGCTCATGACGTACTGGTAGTTGAATTTTCCCACAATCGTATGACTCGAGCTGACGTTTCCAGGGAACTTCGTCAGCTCGACTCATATGCTTGTGGATAAATTCAACTTCCAGTCCTTCATCACTACAACATCTTGGTATTCACATCTTCAATGAAAAATAAGTAATTTAGTCGAATGTTGTAGCGAAAATACGTTTGGGAAAGCAAGCCAATGTGAAATTGAATGGAAACGTCATTGTGGAAAAATTCTAATACCAGTCCTTCATCACCTTACACGAAGTGGGGTGAATACATCTCATTGCACTGATTTACTGGTAGTCTCGAAACTCCGAGTATACACGAATGTGAAATGGCTTGACCTCGTATTCGTCACTTGAGTCTGCTGTCTTGTATCCGAATTGTCATGACATCTTCCAGCACTTTTCAACAAAAAATAAAAACACACCAGCTCGGTAAAATCGTCCAAAATTAACGGTGCTGACGAAGCCCAGGCGAGAGAAAAACTGCCGTCCATCCCAGCCTGGATAAGAATACCTTTTGATAAAGCAAGTCTATATGAAATGATATAGAAACGCCACATCTTCTAATATTATTGAGAGAGCATTCAACTAAGCGAAACAGGGTGAATACTTATCATGCATATGATCTACCAGTAGTCTAGAAAATCTACTTATAAACCAAAGATAGAAAATAATAAACAATCTCTTGAATTATTCTAATTAATCCAACTGGAAAAGATTCAGTGTAGGGCGCTCCGATTCTGACAAGTGGGTATGAAGTACCCATTGGAACACATGTCGAGGACATATTCACACTAATCTACAATCACTGCTCCAAGACAATTTCCATACAGATTCCGGTACAAAATAAAGGCTACTCCAACAACATACCAACAGTGTTGGGTTGCAGTGGACTTACCCCATTTTCGTAGCTTAGTCGTGTTGTCAGGGTGACATGTATGGACACACCTTGCCCTAACTCCGCTGTTACAGTACTTATGATAGTTCGCAGTGTCGACCCGTAGAGTTGGTACATTTTAGAATTGTCTCTTTGACGAGTTGAAGCTTGCTGCTTAGAGTGCCTGCGAAACGTCTGGAAATATACCAACTCGGAAAAGGTATGCCCAACTAGTTTGCCCTGACAACACTACCAAGTGACTGAAACGTGGTCAAACTATTTCTAAGTTGGAGGCTCATACGAGCAAGCATACTTCTGCTTTTCGAACGATGCATATGAGGCTGGGGTAGCCATTTTTAACTCATCTTCTTTCATGGCTAAGAATGTTGAATTTGATTCTAGTCCTATCCCAGATATGAAGACCAAGATGATGTGGTCACTACTTTGGCCGGTCTCCTTTCGTTGAAACGAAATTATTTAACCTCGCTTTCGCTTCTTGGTTATGCTATGAGGGTAACTTCAGTTATAATTACCATGCTCTGAGTCTTCTGCCCAAGATTTCAGGATATTTTCCAGCATTCTCGTGTGAATTTACCGTTTGTATCCAAGCAAAGCAGGCCATGGTCATCTTGATCTTCCTATCGCTCGAGAGTCGAATGCATGTTAAATCGTCTAAAAACCGACGAATTTTTAAGGTGCTAACATAAAATTAAAATGAAGTATTTGATAAAGAGAGTTCAGAATCTGTCGAGGATGACTACAGTTCAACTAAATAAAATAATGCATGCAAATACACATAAGAACACACGTCAACAGTGCAAGCTTTGAGTCCAGTACAATTACGGGTATGAAGACCAAGAATGATGTCAGCTCTATTTGGGTCGCGGCCTGTTTTTGTTGTATGGAAACAGTTCGTTGAGCCTACTTTCAGTTTAAGTGAAAATATTTGATGGAAAAATGTGAAGGTTGATTGCACCAGAAGTAAAAGCTTTACTGGACTACTTTTGGTAACGGTGTTTTCGAAGCTTTCATCCGTCATTTGACGGACATCATCGAAGCAGGCAACCATTCTAGAAACCGCATACAAGCTAATGATGAAGTGCATCATATGACCGACGAAAGCTTGGCACGTTTTCACCGGAATCGAGGCAAATTGCCTCGGAAACAGTCTCAAAAAGAATGTTCAAGTAGCATCACTCGACAGCTGATCAAGAAGAATGCGCCGTCGTCTTCTGCTGGCCTCAAGCTTAGAATCTCTTCACCAAACATTTTCACCCAAACTGGAAGTGAGCTCAGCAATCACAAACCCACCTCCTCTTCGCATAGAACTAGGCTCTAAGGGAGTCAAGATATGCCCACCATAGTAGCTTTTGAGGTGATGAAGGAGTCATAGTTAACTTTTACCACAAGTATGTCAGTAGACCTCACGTTTACAAAGAAATTTCACACAGCTCGGATGAAAATCCCGACTGGTCTGGATCGCACTTTTGACCTTGCCTCAACCGTTTCATCAGCATCACCGGCAGGACTCGA